GTGTGTGTGTGAGAGTGTGACAGATTCACTCACACACTTAAAATGCAACATCTGCAGTACTGTTAAACATAACATACAGGGAAGATAACACAAGTGCTGTCTATTTACACACACATACTTATGGGAATTCAAGACTGGGCACACAACCAACAGGGTGATGTACACATGCAGAGCAGCACATACACACAATTAAGCACATTAATACTGACTTCCTGAGAACAGTATGGACTGTTTGAAGTCAATGTTTGGGCAGGGTGATGTGGGGAAAAAATGCAATAACAAGTAGAAATTCTTCGACATTAATCTACATCACAATATCTCTAAGGAAGATAAACTAATGTCCATCACATTATACTAAATGGTAAAAAAAAACAAGTTATTTTAAACTGTCATTCAAGTATTTCAGAAGAACAACCTGAGAGAAATCGGTGATTGCTTTGTAGTATTAAATTGACTGTTAGTTCACAACATGTCAAAAAAAAAAATCAGGACGGTATCACAGAGATATACGATAAATGATACTGGTATACTGCCCAGCCCATCAGTGGTTCCCAACCAACAAGGGGTCACCAGATGATTAGCAAGATAGAGGAGCATAAAATCCTATTTTTGCTAAACAATATTTTTATTTCTTCAGGATTTACTCTTTGCTTATTTTTCTTTTTTCAAACTACTGAAAAAATTGACCTATTATGGATTTAAAAAGTATTAAAATGCAGCAACCTGAGAGGGAGTAATCGCTCTTTAGTTGATGTGGTCTGAACTTAGACAGATTCAACCTGTGACAAGGAGGCACAAATGTAGAGCTCTGTTTTAAGGGGTCATTAGGTGAAAGTTTGGGGACCACTGCATAGATGAACTTAAGAACGACAGGGATCTCTAACTGTACTGTAAAAACGAGCACAACACAGATACCGATGCTTGGCGGTGCTACAGCTCTGTTGTTGGCTGTTTCTCAAGCATGTATGCTGTTTATTAATGGATAATGGTAAAAAAGCAAATGTTGCCCTGAATTAAGACTCTCAGGTTGTGCTTACTCCCAGGATAGCTACCACCCCAACTAAGATTCGTGCTTACTGTGAAGTTAGTGAAACAAATCAAATTTGTACAGACACTAAGATCAGGGCTGGGATTTTAGAAGTACTGAAGTTGAAGGTCTCCCCTGAGCCAACCACAGTACTTTGAGTACCAAGCAAAATATATCCTTAGTGTCAAGTCATATCCTTAGGCTTGTTCAATTATTTTACAATCTGATATTTCCTCATTTATAACACTTTTTAGGCTCTCGAGGCATTTTCAACAGATACATGAGTAGTTTAATGTATTTAGTTGAATGAGAGGAAAATGTCAATATGTTCATAGACCAAGCCCTGCTTTTTAATTTATTTTCTGTTAGCTTTAAAGTACTGAAATTGAAGTATACTGAGTGTATAGTAAACACACTGAAATCAGCCTGTAAATGAAAGTTTTTAATTGTAGAATGTAAACTACCTCCAGGTTGCTTTAACTCCCAAATTCACAAAAACAAAGAAGGACACGACCTGTGTCCCCAGTGGTAGCTGTGACACTGCCTAAGAGTCTCTACTCAGGGCCACGAAGTCTCCGGTGCTGCCAGTGAAGAACCTGGGTCTCATCTCCGCCTCAGAAATTCAAGTAGACGAGCGCAACATAACCCCACAGTGAAACTCTGCACCTCTCTCACCTCACACTCGATATCCTGCACCACTGCAAACACAAACATCACACTGACGATAATATTCCACTTCAATCCTTTAAACTCACACCACCAGCACCATGTGGTTACCGACCGTCAGTAGCAGTGATGCATCATGGGATTCTGATGTGGTTGAAACCGGATATTTTTCTTTATGCCAAATCTGTGCCATGGGTGGCCACGTCCACACACACAAACACACCGACGGTGCCAAATGGCCACTATCAATTTAAATTGACTTTGTGTTCCTCACCTGTAGCCCCTTTAATTGAAGCCATAACTCTGCATACATGTTTACACACACACTGATCAGCCATAACAATATGAGCACTGACAGGTGAAGTGAATATCACTGATTATCTGGTCATCATGGTCATATCAGGCAGCAGGTGAACGTTTTGTCCTCAAAGTTGATGTGTTAGAAGCAGGAAAAATGGACAGCGTGAGGATT